TTTTACTTTCATCATGTCAAACAAAAATAGAGCACACACCTGATTGAACTCAGCAAATCAACAAAAACAAATAAAAAATAACGAATTAAACATAAATCAAGGGAAGTGGGTTTTGCACTCATAATATTTTTTTGAAGATCAAGAAAATATATAGAGAATTGATAAAGCTACCAAAATAAAACCCCAATCTCTTTTTCCTTTTTCTCCATCTCACCTCTCTTTTCACTCTTTTTCTCTGCTGCACTCACACAATCCCTCTCTTGGCTGCACTTACACAATCCCTCTCTTGGCTGCACTCACACAATCCCTCTCTCGGCTGCACTAACTCTCTCTCTCTCTCTCGGCCTCTCTCTCGGCTGCCACAGTGTCATGACCCAAGCCCACCCCTATGGATTAGAGTTAAAACCGGCCAGTAATCAAGAGATTATCTACGACCTCAATCAAATCAATTCAAAGTTAACAATAGGGGGTCAAATTGCAGAAGTAAAATTTGCAAAGATTGTCCAATGAGCTGTGCATACATGGCTTAACCAAAACATTCTCATATTCATATAATAACTCACACCATACAAACATTCATATTTCCGAAATTCAACACGATATTTGTATTTTAGTCATAAGTTTATGAACAACATACCCTCAAATTGTTGGAAGATTCTAAACAATAAGTTTCCTTTTCCATTTTTCACCATATCATCGGCAACCTATTTATCATTTTCCTAACATTAATATTTCTAATAAAGACAGTTCAATTGGTTGCCAAAAAGTGTAAGAAAATGTTAAAAAAAATAAAAATAAAATGAGAGGTTAGAGTCAATACAATCTTTACATAGTTCAAAATATTTTTTATATAATTTATTATATTTTAATATATATTTTTTACACATTTACTAATGTCATTTTTCTTTTATTTTTTATATTGTATTTTTTTTTTACTGGCAATGGTTTGAGGCATGTTATTCTACTTTGATTAGAGGGTCTCTGAGAGCATTATCCTTCTAATTGGAGGGTTATGCAAAGCATAATTTGTGGACTAAAATTAGTTCGTTGGCATGGGTGGCCCAGAATGAGGGCGTCAATGGGGCGGGTTTGTTTTCTTCCTTCATATCATATTATATTGAGAGTGGAACAAATGGAGAGGTCATAGATAATAATTTATAATTAATGAAAGTTAAAAATGTAATATTATAATTAAATGAGTGTGAATGAATATTAGGTGTTTTAAGGAGATTTACGTGTAGGTCTTAATAGGTAGATACAATAACGTTTTTCAGCAAACACTATTTAAAAAACGTTACTAATTGTTAATTTTCAGCAACAGTTTGAAAATTTTTTCACAAAAAATGTCACTAATTATAACTTTTAGCAACAGTTTAAAAAAACTATTACAAAAAAAGGTCACTAGTTTTTAACTTTCAGCGATAGTTTGATAAATTCGTTACAGAAAAAGTCACTAATTGTAAGTTTTAGTGACAATTTATAAAAATCGTGACAAAAAAAGTTACTAATTGTCAATTTTTAATGACATATGTAAAAAATCATCACAAAAAATTATTTTTAGTGTTGATTTTACTAGGACTTATTTCTAATAGGACCTGATGAAAATTAAGTCCAACTATTAAAATTTATTGATAATTTACCCATTTTTAATGTTTTAGTTTTACTGTATTGAATATATATATACATATATTTAATAAATAAAATTGGAGCGGGGGCTCCCTGTTCCATTTTCTTGTTGAGGTGAGCAAAAATCTATATGAGATAGGGTAGGAAAAAATTGTCCTCCCTAGTCCAGAATTTTAACTTTTAGTTTTTGATTTTTTTTCTTACTTATGCCAATTTACTATATTTATTAAATTATAATAAAATTTTGAGATACAAAAATTTTAAATTTAAATAGAACAAAAAATCTTCAATTGACCTGGAGAATCATTAAAATATCATATATATACATATACATACACTACAAGAATTAACATTTTTAGCAACAAAAAAATTGGTCGCTAAAAGTCTATTTTTGGTTGGAAAAAGTTATCCGTGACCAATTTTTTTGGTCGCTAGTTTGGTCGCCAATTGAGGGTCGGCAAAAGTAATTCACGACCAAAATTTTCGTTGGTCGGCAAAAGTTGGATTTGCCGACTAAATTTTTGGTCGCTAAATATTTAATTACCGCGACTAATTCATTTTGTCACTAAAACACTTTGGTCGCGAAAAGTCGCCTTTTGCCGACCAAATTTCTTAGTTGCCAATTGACACATTTCGCGACCAAAAATTTTGGTCCCCAATTGTGACATTTCGCGACCAAATTTTTTGGTCGCCAATTGTGACATTCTGCGACCAAAATTAGTTTGGTCGCCAATTGTTACTTTTCGCAACCAAAACTGTTGGTCGGCAAAAGTGAGTTTCCACGACCAACAAAATTTTTGGTCGGCAATAGATGTATTTTTTGCGACCAAAACTCTTGGTCGGCAATTGTCATTTTTTGCGAAAAAAAATAATTTATTTGTCGCGACTAATAAATTGGTCGCCAAAGCAAGAAAACAATACACTTGTAATTCCTAATAATTCATTCAATCCATAATAAACCTATAATTTTAAAGCATCATTCAAATTAACGGATGCTGTAGGGGCTCAATACTCCAGAACTATTTTATCTTAATATATTGTTATGCTTTGTTTACCAAAAAAGAAAACAAGGTGTGCAAAACCTCTCTAATAAATAATATCAAAATTTTATTTTATTTCTTTCTCAAGCTATGTAAGGGCGCAAGTTCATAGCATATTCATTGTCATGTGATGAATGTGTCAGGAAAGAAAAAATTATAGAAAAATAAAATATATTTTTACAAAATTTTCTCATAAACTAATGTAACATCAAATAATAAATTTTAAAATTTTAACATAAAGCCAAGCTCTTCATATCTCATGTCAATCCTCATAATCATAATCCACACCATACGCTCCGCAGCTTTCAACACCTTCACCGTAATCAGTCTTGTGGTCAAATTCATTATCATACTTTCTTATTTCAGACTCAATCTGTCGGTGCTAAACTTCTTGTTAAACTTTGTATCGCATTTTGCAATTATGCCTTCTGTGTTGGCATTCTCGGCACCTTGGCTCTGTAAAGACATTGAAATGGATGTATAGAAATACATTAGCCAACTCTCAGTGTAGCTTTGTCTCATAGCAAGTAATAAATTTCAGATTAATGGAACAAAAATAACAGTAAAATAACATGGCATCATATTGTAACTTGATTTGTTAGATTTGAAATAGAGAATTCATGTAAATATGATGAATAATCCCACCAAATGATTATTTCAATCCTTCCATCTAACTTGAGCCAAACACACGCGGCTTATCATCATACAATTACCTGTTTTAGAAACTATATTTGAAAAAAAACATTAGAAAATGACAATGACGATTGTATTTTCCTCCACGTCTCGTTTTCATTTATAAAAAGGGTTGCAACCTTCATAGGCAGGAAGAACTGAAGTTTCCTTTGTTAAGTGCGCCATTGAATTACCATAGGACAACGTTGGTTGGAGTCATTGCAATGGAGCTGAAGTCTTGTAAAATTCAGTGGGAAGGTAAGTTTATATTCAAGTGACCATTAACTTGAGGTCGAGACCATTTGTGTTGTGGGGATTGGTATTTGTCAATTTGTTCTACCTTTCCAATTCTTATTTTTGATTTGTTTCCATCACTAACCAAACCAAACTGGCCCAATACACATTAGTTGGATTTGGTTATTTAGTTTTCCCATTAACTATGGTGCATATGGCCACAAAATGGATAGGTTTGGCTCACATCTCATAATCAAACCATAAAGCACTTTCGAGAGTACAAAGAATGCGGCATTGATGACATACTAGGAGATTTATCTCTGCAGCTAATAGGGTATTCCATGAGCTTTTAGCATTTCACAAGCTATGTAGTATATGAACTACCGACATTTTTCTACTATATAAGTTCAGAACTCTGAATTAATGTTTTCTCTCTCCCCCCTATGGTTATTTAGATTTTTTATTCAAATCATTTCAGTGCAAAAAGTGGTGCTAATAGAAGAGACAAAGTGAACGGATGTGAGGATCCTCTGAGGTGCAAACTAGAACAGTTTTACGGCGAAATGAGGGTTAAATATTCCTACCAGAAAATGAAGCAGGACAGCGTGTCTCAATCTCCTGAGTTTTACATGCTTCAATTGAATGGCACTCTTTGAGATCAGACAAATGCATGTATTCAATATCTAACTTGGCAACATATTCAACAATACAACAAAGGGCTTTACATGTGTTTATTTGTGTAATCAGTACATTCAAAGGACTCCACATCTAAACTAGTGCTCGTTCTTCTATGATTTTACTTACAGAAAGACTATAGCAGTCAAAAGGCCGTGAGTACAATAAAACAAATGTTATTGGTTTTGTTGTCAAATCAATTTCATCTCATTAGCTACATATCATGGGTATTTACAGCATCATGACTATTAACCAACTTTTGCTCCAAATTACCTACACTCGAAGAGGGTAATACCTGAAAGAAAGGAAACAAAGAAAAGGCAGCATTACCGTTTCATGTTTACTATTCATTTGTTCCCAAATAATCTTTTTGTAATGCATCTCTTCTTTACTGTGCAGATATTTGTCAACCTGTAAAAAATTTGACATTGTTTCGAAGTTATAAATTCACTGATCTGATAAGTCAATCAGGTAACATTTACCAATTAAGTCAAGAACACAACTTGCTTTAAAACTTGCAGCATACCTCAACATCATCGATATCAGAAAGGCTTTCTGACTCGTCAATTGCTGCCATTCTACTCAAATGCTCATATCTATGCAGCTGACTAGATACCTTGTTACCATCTTGGCATCCATCAGAAGCTCCTGAAACATCAGAATGTTACTTTAACTTAAGCTTTCAAGTTTAATCCCTAAAATAATGCATGACAGGAATTTCATGAGAACAATTCGTTACCCTTTTGGGTATTTAAGAATCCACTTCTTACAACATCTGCACGTACTTTCGAGGACGGTTTTACTTCTTTCTCTAACTAAAAAACAAACATGAAAACAGAAGTGTGTGGAAAGATAAACTTGATCCAAGATCTCTCTTACATTCCTTAAAGTCATTAGTTTATCAATCACGGAACAGAAACAAGGAGTAATGAGGAAGAAAAAGCTGCATAATCCTAAATTACTTCTAACAGTATATTTGAATATATATCTCAACCATAGTGAAAAATTCGGAAAATGGGAAACAATGTACAAGATTGTGAGCAAAATGTCTTTGTAAGTCTAAGGAATGGAGCGGAGGCAAAGGTCTTTTAGTTTATACAAATTACAATACACATTTCATGAGAAGAAAAAAAAAATGATATTTATCTTTAAAATTTGAATATGCCATGCCTTTAGCTCATTGGGTTGGGATCATATATTTCCAAGCTAGGGAGGGATTTAGGAGATAAATGGCAGGAGAAGTTGAAAGTATATACAACTGAATTCTGATCTCATTACCCTGAATTAGACATGCTGCTAGTTTAGTTTTCCACATATTTTTTATGCTTCAAGAGTCAAAAATCTTTTTTTTCTTCTTTTTTCATTTTTAAGATTTTCTGTGCATGGGCTCAGCTAGTGTTCCATGGGCCTTCTTTTGTGTCACATTATTGTGTTTTTATACATGATCCTTAGTTTATTACTTTGTTTAGATCAATTCTGTAACTCAATTACCTTAGGGGTCGTTTCTTAGTGTTGTCTTCATGCTGAATACCATATACTCTTAATGCAAAAGAAGGGCACTTAACCCTTAAAAGAATCACCAAGGAATTGCAAGCTAACGGTTTATACGTGAAGAACAGCAACCTTATCTTGAGACTACTTAGAAAACTCAAGAATGCAATCAAACAAGATACAACAACACCACCTAGTGAACTAATACACATCCCATTGATAAAAAAATAAAAAATAAACAAAAAAAAATACCATAACAAGAAACTTAATTGCAAGAATTGCCTAATGGGGTGACGTTTCTACGATCTAAAACAAGAAACTTGTTAGAACCATGGTGGAGATAGAATTATGGTTCCAACTGGGATGAGACCACTCAAACATATGAATCTCGAAGAAACAAAAAAAATTAACAAAACAAAAATCTATCAAGGCAAAAGTGTTGAAACACATCACTTAAAAAACACACAACTGAACTCAAACTTACTGAGATTCGAACTGAACAGAGGATTGAACCACGGCCCAGATCGCGAAAAACCCTCTTCAAAATCAAGTGTAGAGAAACACACGACTGAACTCAAACTTACTGCGAGTTTTGCGCGGCACCTCCATCCCCACTATAAAGGGCGAAAATGTTATCAAAACCCTAATTACAAAAAAACCCAATTGAGAAAGTAAACAAGGAGGAGGACATACGAGTCTACAAGTATTGAAGGTGAAGTCAGATACGCCGTGTTTATTGAAGAAGTCGGTGGCCTCGTCGACGATGATCGGATGATGGAGATTGTACTCTTGAGTGCAACCAGAACACCTGCAAAAACAGGACTTGAATGGATAAGAATTCAAACCAGGACTTGAATGGACAAGAATTCAAACCAGCAGAATTCAATCCAGGATTTAGTGAGTGGTTTAAAGAGCAAAATATAAATAGCAATAAATGTAAACCAGCAGAATTCAAACCAGGACTTGAATGGACAAGAATTCAAACCAGCATAATGCAGTGGTAAAATCATGGTCAACGTCAAACTCGTTCATTAGGTTGCTAAAATACGCATTTCCTTGATATTCTATCTAAAGCACAATTGTTCATACCACACAAAAAGAATAGATACGAGTCTACAAGTATCGAAGGTGAAGTCAGATACGCCGTGTTTATTGAAGAAGTCGGAACAAAGTAATTTAAAATTGGAACAAATCTGATTCATAATGGTGGACATAATTGGAACAAAGTAATTTTAAATTGGAACAAATCTGATTCATAATGGACATAAACATCTTTGAAAGTAATTTAAAATTGGAACAAATCTGATTCATAATGGACATAATTGAACATCTTTGAAAGTAATTTAAAATTGGACATAATTGGACATAATGGACAAATCTGATTCATAATGGAACAAAGTAATTTATAATTGGACATAATTGGACATCTTTGAAAGTAATTTAAAAGTTTCCTGATTCACAATTGTAAAGCACAAGTAAAGCACTTGCAGGCAACTGAAGATGGGGATAACATGAACCTTGAATATCATTTATCAACATGAGGCCAAAAATAAAGCACGGAATTAATGATCACTACTCTTTCACAAATAAATTCTCAAAGAAAAATATATTGGATTTAATAGGTCTATTTTAAAAAAAATCATAGACCCAAAATCAGTAAACAAAATTGCAACAGAGCATAACTGGGAAAAACTACCAGACAGCCCCAATGGGTTGATAGATTCAATAGCTGAAAGTCATAAGCGAGATCTATAAATAGTGGAGTCATTATTAACAATTAGACATCCCACGCTCCAGCCATCCACCGACATGGGCTATTTGTGATTCGACTCACTTTATCATTTTCATTTTTATATTTTGCTTTTAAAAAAAAGTTCAAAAATAACAACTACATCATCAATGAGCTTGCCCTGACCTTAGCAGGCAAGTGTTCGGTTCTGTCTACTATTAGTCATGAGAGTAAGCAAAAAAGAAACATAAAAGCTAAAAATCATTGTATACCAAATAATAGACATGCTCCACTAGTTTTTGATTAAAATTCAGTTTCTGATTAAAATTCCCTAAAACTCAATCTACATGTAAATCACAAATTAGTGTTACAAATAAAACTCATAAATAGAATAAACCCAAAAAATCAGTAATATTTGTAAATCAAAAAAAGAAAATCTTAAAACTCAAATGGTTTTCCCTAATTTCATAAATCAAAACTTAAATCTACAAATTAGTAAGTTTAGAGTTTCATTGAAAAAGAGAACAATTAAAAAAACCCCAAACAAATTTTTTTTCTTCTTCACAATTCATAATTCACAATTCACAATTCTTGATTGGAATTGTGGGGTAATATAATGTAAAACAATCAGTAACCCTCTACACATCAGTAACAATCAATTCTTGACTGCAATTAGTAACAATCAATAACACATAATATAAAACATGCATAGATTCTTGGCTGGAATTGTGGGGTCAATTGTTTGAGGCAATTTATCGAACATGTAGAGGACATTGGAGAAACCCCTCTCCACATTGAAAAACCTATCATCAAGCAATCTATAAAAGCAAATACAACAAAATATAAAAGTGAATCACTCAATCTACCAGGCACATTGCATAAATACTGAATATAAAACCCAAAACCCAATTTTTTATCCCCAAAAAAGTATCGAATGCAGCTTTAAATATACACAAATAGCATGAAAATACAGACCAACAAACAAAAATAATATGAAATAATGATGCACCCTCAGATCTGATAGCTTCAAATAAATCATCAACGGTTTATACCCAGTGCCTATCATCAATTTCCCAATGAACAATTTCAGTACACAAACCCAATTTTTGCAAATGGATGATGGGGATTGACTGATTATTGACAATAATCAGTCTTTACCATTACCTCAATTCCACCAAAAAATATCGATTTTCTTAAAGCATAGAGAAGCATAAAGAGAAAGAGAGAGAGAGAGGGAGAGAGAGAGGTACCGGAGAGCTCCCATGGGGGTTCGAAGCAGAGAGAGAAAGAGAAGACAGCGGCGTCAATGTAGAATTTGAGGAAGCTGATGATGATGATGAAGGTGGCTGTGGTGGTGGAAACCCTAGCCTTCGGTGACCCAATCGAACCACAATGTCGCGATTCACAATCGGAAACCCTACCTTGTGAGTAGGAGGATTGCGACTTGAAAACACTGAGAGAGAATGGGGGAGAGGCAGAAATCGAGGCCAGCGTCAAGAGCGAGCGCAAGAGGGAGGGTAGGAAAAAAGAACAGAGAGGGAGAGAGAGACAGAGAGGGAATGGAAGGAGACGAGTTAAACCAAATTACCCCAATCTGGGTTCAATTGATGGCTTGGTAGAGAGAGTGGGCACCGAAGGAGAGAAAGAAAATTCAAATCCCGCCTCCACTGAAAATCAAATTTCCCCCCAAACTTTTGGCGACTAAATGTCAAATTAGTCACAAAAATAGGTTCTTTCGCCGACAAATTTTTTTAGTTGCCAAATCTTAATCAACGGCGACTAAAATATTAGTCGCTAAAAGTACTAATTTGGCGACTAATTTTTTTTGGTTGCTGAAAATAAGGTTTTCGCGACCAAATTTTTGGTCGCCAAAAAATATGTGACCTTTCGCGACCAAATTTGTAGTTGGTCGGCAAAAGTATACCACTTTTTGCAACCAACATATTTTTTGGTCGCCAAAATATAACCTTTTGTGACCAAAAATATTTGGTCGCCAAAAATAATGATCATTTGCGACTAATTAAAATTTGGTCGCCAAATGTCATTTTTTTGCGACAAAAATTTTTTTAGTCGGCAAAAGTGATCGCAAAATGTGTAAATTCTTATAGTGATAAAACAAAAAAAAAGGGGTGAGAAGAGGAGAAATGATAATAGATGGAAAAATGGCCCAAATATCACCAAAGAAAATGATATGATGGGCCATCACTCCCTCTTCTTCTTCCCCTACACCACTATTTTTGTCAAGAATGGTGCGATTTGAGACTTCACTTGCTTGCCTTCATTAAGTTTTCAAATATTTTTAGACGTCTAATGGTTAGACTATTTTACGTAATGTATTAATAACAAAAATTTGTAAATGAGATCGTGTAAGTCACTTTTATCTCCCAATATATAACACAATTAATGAGATTTCTTATTAATTGATAATTCCTTCGTATCTTATTTTTATTTTAAAATTGAGATTAAAAAAATAGACTATAATCTCAGTTTCTAGTAATCGAGATTAAGAGGCTTTTTTCTTCCCTTTTATTTTTTACCTCGGTTGGTGTGAAAAACTGAGATTAAAGATATTATTCCATTTTTTTATCAGCGTTTTGGGTTTTATACAAACTGTGATGTTTTCAATACTTTGTGTGATATTTGGCTATTATTGCAATAGTATAAATGGATTTTGCCTTTTTTTTTTTTTTTTGTGAGCTTGGTTATTTGCGAGAGTTTGTTTTGTCACTATTGTAGTTTTTCAGATCAATTATTCTCTGTATTAGGGGAATCTACTCTTGTGTGATTCCTGTAGACTTAATTTTAGGTTATATCGCGTAATTTATGATATTTTGCATTTGTGATTATCCCTCTTGATCTGTATTCATTTTGTACTATTAGTTCATATGATCTAGCGTGACTCATTTTTCCTAAAGCTCTCCATACAACAATAACTTAAAAATATCAATTTTTGATTTATTGTTATAATGCTTAGGGAGGAACATCTCTTGTTATAATGCTTATATGTCTATATATATTAGCAGTTGCTTTCCAATGTCATGGAGA